GTAGGTGGTTGTGTTTTTCCATCAGCTTTATTAAGATCGAATTTGCATACATAATTTACATACATAATGCTCACCCTGCTGGGCACTAAGACCCCTATATGCCTCAGTGGGTTTAGTACTTTGACAGAGAGTGCAGCCTTCTGCAATATCTCATTCCACAACAGAACCCCGTGTCCTGGAACACATGACGCCACCGGACGGCAGCAGCTTGTCTGTGTATGTTTCAGAGTTCACATCAGTGGGCCCCTGCTCCTTTTAACAAGCAGTGTTTACCAGGTTCAGCCGTGTTGTAGAGGGTACTGGAATCTTATTCCATTTTGTGGCTGAATACTTTTCCGTTGTATGGATTTACCACATTTTGTTTATCCATTCATCCGTTGGTGGACAGTAGGCGAGTTCCAGATTTTGAATGTTGCAGATGGTGCTGTTATGGGCAGTTTTGTACACATTTTTGTGTGAGTGTGCGCTTTTTGTTCTCTTGGGTTTATTGGGTATAGAACTGGGGGCTCTCGATCTTTTGGTAACTCGATATTTAGCATTTTGAGGAGCTGCCAAACTTTTTTCCCAAGTGGCTGCACCATTTTATCTCCCCACCAACGGTATTATAAAGATTCCAGGGTTTCCACATTCTTGCCAACACTTGTAACTTTATGGAACAGTTGTTATGTGCTGTTGAGTCAATTCCAAAGCTTGAACTGCCAACCTTGCCATTCAAATGGACCTTGCAGTCCAGCGCATCAACCCGCAGCGCAGTACCAGAAGCAGTTGTAGTTCTACAAAAACGGAGAAGAAAATTCCCACCTGCTCCCTCCCTCCCTGTTTGTTACTAACAGCTTGCCTTCCTGGGACCATGTGTTGCAGTTAATGAACCACACTGATACATAGTTACTAGCTGAAGGCCTGGGCCTCTGTGTCTCCGCACTGTGTGTGTGTTGTGCAGTTCTTGGAGTGAATACCTAGGAGCGCTATTGCTGGATAATATGAGAATGAGAGAATTGTAAGAACTTTTTGAATCCCCCTTGTAGAGTAAGACATATTTAGTTTGTATGAAGCTGCCCATTGTTGCCAAAGGGGCACTACCATTTTACATCATTATCAGCAGTGGATGAGTTTGAGCTTCAGTATCCACATCCTTGCTGGTGGTTGACGTGTTGTCTGATAATAGATGGTGGCACAGTGGGTAAAGCGTTGGGCTGTTCCCTAAAAGGTGGGCGGTTTGAATGCTCTGGCTGCTCCAAAGGAGCCAGATGAGGCCGTCTGCTCTGGGGATTTTCAGCCCCGCTCTGTAACGCAGCCCCTCTCTGTGCCTCAGCCCCTCTCTGTTCCTCAGCCCCTCTCTGTGCCGCAGCCCCTCTCTGTGCTTCAGCCCCTCTCTGTTCCTCAGCCCCTCTCTGTGCCACAGCCTCTCTCTGTGCCGCAGCCCCTCTCTGTGCCGCAGCCCCTCTCTGTGCCGCAGCCCTTCTCTGTGGCACACTCAACTCGCAGGTGGCAGTGCCCGTGTTCTGACTCTTACTCTGCAGGTGTGCGATGTGTGCTGATGTGGAGCAGCCTTCACGTCCCTGTCTGCCATCACGCATCTTCTTTGGCAAGTTGTCTGATTTTTTTGTCCACGTGTTAATTGGGTTGGTTGTTTACTTGACACTGAGTTTTAAGAGTTCTTTGTGTATTTGGGATATGGGTCCTTTATCAGATATTTATCAAGAGTTTCTCCCAGTTTGTGGCTCGACTTGTTGTCTTCATCATTTGCTTTTTTAGGCTGAAATTTTCCAAATACAAAGCACAGAAAATCACGAGTCCCCATGCATTTGTCACTGAGGAGGCAGCAGCCCACCCCAGTTGATTCTAATGCATTAGTGATCCTGTTTGGGGTTTCTGAGGTGGTCAGTCTCTATGGGGACAGATTGCCTCATTTTTCTTCCGAGAAGCCGTTGATGGGTTTGAACTGTCGACCTCTTGGTTAGCAGTTGAGTATCCCCAGAGTTCCTTTAGCAGCCCACCCCATGCCCCCGTTTTTCTCTGGAGTGTTTCCGAAGCAAACCCTGAACATTAGTTATCTTGCCAGCAAGGAACTCAGCAAGGCAGCGCGTGCGGCCCTCTTCAGGGGGTGGTCCTCTGGCTGGCAGGGAGGTGACTGGAATGGGCTTTGTGGGGGGAATAGCGCCTCATGGTGGGAGTGGGGTGTTTCCATGTTTCTGCCAAAGTGAGTCGCTCCTCAGGGGCACACCAGGTGTTAGGGAAAGTGCACCCAGGCACGGTGAACGAAATGAAAAAACATTTTCAACGCTTTGTGGGCAAGAACAAGGCCAGCACTGAAGTTGAAAGGTGTGCCTTTTTTAGGCATGAGGGGAAAATACCTTGTTTCTGACTCTTCAGAGGAAAACCTTTTTGGCATTTTGTTTACTTAACCCCAGTTAGCCGTCACCAAGGAAACTGCGTGTGATTTATAGGTTTGGGGCAGTCTCAGGAGGAGCCTCACTTGGCTGAGAGCATTTAGGGTTTGGAGGTTTTCATCGTTGGAGCCGGCTGAGTTGTGAACTCTTGATGCTGCCCTCCCCAGGAGGGGTGGGTGTTGGTTCTTCAGAGACATTTCTGTTTACCAGCCTGGCTGTTAGTCTGTAGGGCTTGGAAGCCAAGGGAAAGGGTGGGGTTTGAGTGTATTCCAGGTGCCTCATGGAACGCATGAAGGGCCCAGAGTGACCCCTGAACATCCCTGTGTGTCCCTCAGTGTCTGTCCACCCTGTCACAGAAAAGGCTCCACATGTAACCACACAAGAGTCCAACAATGCCAAGTGCACGCACTCACCCAGCCCCCACCCTGCCCCACTCGGCTTCCTGGCACCTCGTCTGAGCTGGAGGGGGCATTTAGTATCTGAGAGGTTTTCAGCAGAGTTTTGGAATGTGCCCCCTTGCCGGCTCCCAGGAGTAGTACCTGCAGGGTTTAAGTCAGCCAAGAACACCTACCTGACAGTAGTATGTATGTCTTCATTTAACGAAATCTAGCCCCTTCATGGACTCAAGCGTGGCAACAGTAGTGAGGTCGGCCCAGGATTGGGTGGTGTTTCATTCTGCTGTGCATAACGTTGCTATGAGTTGATACCGACTTGATGGCACCTAACAACAACAACAACAACAACAAATCCCTTAATGTCAGGAGTCCTGGTGGAGCTATAGGAATGCTAACTGCAAGGTCAGCTGTTCAAAACCACCACTCACTTCTTGGGAGGAGGAGGAAGCCGTCTGCTCCTGTAGAGCTCCCCAGTCTCAGAAACCCTAAGTAGGAATGAGACTTTGAGTCGGAATCAACTTGATGACAGTGAATTTGGTTTGGGGGGTAGTTCATTAATGTAATGTAACATCACGCTGCGCTGCCCCATGCTATGGTGGTTCAGGACTGGACAGTGTCCCACTTTGTTGTACTTAGGGACCCAGACCCGTTGCCTCCCTGCTCAAGGGCTGCCCCCCTCCCAGAGTAAAAGGGAACACCCCCAGTGTCCAGTGAGCTGGACTGGCACAGTGGCAGCAGCAGTGGGCTCAAGCATAGTAATGATTGTGAGGTTGGCGCAGACCCGATTCCTAAGCACTGTATATTACCAGTATATATATACTCTGTATATATACCAGAGCTCCTTGTATATTACATGTTGTTGCTAAGTGCCGTCAAGTCGATTCCGACCCATAGCGACCCTGTATAGGGTTTCTGAGGAGCAGCTGGTGAGCTTGAACCACTGACCTTGCAGTTCAAATGACTTTGTGTAGCGCTGTGGGTTAATGCACCAAGACTGTATGTTACATGAGGCAGTTTAACTAATGATGACCCTTTCACTGAAAGTGAGACCCATATTTGTGCTTTCAAAGATCTGTATGAGTTTAAATGGTCTTATAGCAATCTTTAAGGTGCTCTGGTAGTCTAGTGGTTATGAGTCAGCCTGCTAACCTCATGGTCAGCAGTTCGAAACTACCAGCTGTTCCACGGGAGAAAGATGAAGCTTTCTGCTCCTGTGAAGATTTACAGCCTCAGAAACCCTGTACAGGGTCGCTATGAGGCAGAACCGACTCCACGTCACATCACCACCAAATCAACCTTTGCAACAGCCTTACAATCATTGCCCACTGCTGCTGCCACTGTGCCAGTCATCTCACTGGGGGTCTTCCTCTTTTTCTCTGACCCTCCACCCTACCAAGCATGATCTCCTTCTCCAGCGACTGGTCCCTCCTGACAATATGTCTGAAGTATGAGAGATGAAGTTTGGCCATCCTGGCCTCCAAGGAGCACTCTGACTGCACTTCTTCCAACACAGATCTGTTGGTTCTTTTGGCAGCCCATGGCACTTTCAATATTCTCCTCCAACACCGTAACTCAAAAATATCAATTCGTCTACGGTCTTCCTTATTCACTGTCCAGCTTTCACATGTATATGAGACTACTGAAAATAACATGGTTTGGGTCAGTCGCACCTCAAACTGACATTTTTGCTCTTGAACGTATTAAAAAGGTCTTGTGCAGCAGATTTATCCAATGCAATATGTCGTTTGATGTCTTGACTGCAGCTTCCATGAGTGTTGATAGTTGATCCAAGAAGAATGAAGTCTTTGACAACTTCATTCTTTTCTCTGTTGATAAGAATGTTGTTTATTAGTTCAGTGGTGAGGAGTTTTGTTTTCTTTACATTGAGGTGCAATCCATACCAAAGGATGTGCTCTTTGATCTTCATCAGTAAATGTTTCAAGTCCTCTTCACTTTCAGCAAGCAAGGTTGTATCATCTGATTATCGCAGGTTGTTAATGAGTCTTCCTCCAATCCCGATGCCACGTTTTTCTTCATAGAACCCAGCTTCTCGGATGATTTACTCAGCATACAGTTGGAATAAGTCTGGGGGAAGAATACAGCGTTCTGGGCAGTGTTGCGTTGTGCGTGCGTAACGTTGCTCTGATTGGATACCAACTAGACGACACCCAATGACAAGAGTAACAAGGACAACCTTTGTGAATGTCTTTGACAGGAAGCCGACGGTTTGATTCTGATAAATATCGACAGTGGAAGTGTCACCTGCTCAAAGCCCTCGGGCGACGTGAACATCCCTGACGTCCCTCTGCTTGCTGCCCAGATGTTCATCCAGAGGTAAAGGTCACGGGACCCTGTGTGTTCGAAAACCCCGCTTTCTGATTCTGTCTGCCACGTTTGAGGACTGTTTCCAGTTTTGTAAATTATTGGTGGATATTTAGTCTGTTTGTAGTTTGGGAATTATTTGTGAATGCTTTTGAAAAAACAAGATTTCCTTTTATTCCAACCTTGCGTCTAGTTATGGGCCCACAGAGTCAGATGATGGTCACGATCCCTGGAAGCTTTGGAACCCTCTTTTCTGGCTTCCCGCGTGGTGATCTTTGAAGGTCTTGCTCAATCCTTCATGCCTCTGGCTGCTCACTGTTTCCTTCAGATACCATGTGGTGCAGCGATGGGCTGGGTACGTGTGCAGATAACAGACGTGACCTGTCCTGCGCTACGGCGCATTTGTCTGCAGGCCTCTGATCGCTGTGACCCATTTTCTTTTCCTTCTCAGTTACTCCAGCGTCCTAGTCATCTTATTTTTTTAGACCTTATTTGACAGCTCTATGTATTTTTTCATATTCTCTATTATCCTTTGTTGCATCAGGCAAATCTGCTGCACAAGATTTCTTTAAAGTGTTTCCAAGAGCAAAGATGTCAGTGTGAGGACTAAAGTGTGCCTGACCCACATCATGAGAGTTGTAATCACCTCAAATGCATGTGAAAGTTGGGCAATGAACAAAGAAGGTCATAGAAGAATTCACGCATTAGAGTTATGGTTTTGGAGGAAAATATTAAAAATACCATGGACTGTCAGAGAAGATAGAAATATGTATTGTAAGAAGTACAGGCAGAATGTTCCTTAAAAGCCAGCATGGCAACACTTCATCTCATACTTTGGACATTGATCAGGAGGGGCCAGTCCCTGGAGAAGGACGTCATGCTTGGTAAAATGGAGGGTCAGCAATAAGGAGGGAGACCCCAATGAGCTGGATTGACACAGTGACAGCAGCAGTGGGCTCAGGCAATACGACAATTGTGAGGTTGGTGCAGATCCGGGCAGTCTTCCAGTCTCTTGTGTGTGAGGTCGGTATGAGTCGGAACGGACTTGGTGGCACCTAACACTTGGCATCCTAACACCCATCCATCCTTGGCATGAGTCAGGCATCTGCAAACATTTATTAAAAGTGCCTGATCCTCAGTATTTCCACCCTAGTGAAGCTCTACAGATTGTGTGGTGAAGGTGTTCTGAGAGACCGTTGTCTTCTGGGGAGGGTGAAGAGGCATCTGGTAAGCTGGGATACCTCCCCAGCTGTCTGTAGCATATGCTCTGCCTTTGGAATCTAATAAAACCTGACAGGAAGTAGAGATCACCCGGGGTCTAACTGCAGTTGGCCACACTGTCGGCGACTCGAGGAGGGATGTGTGGGCAGAGTGAGTCCGGGCCTGCCTGCTGGGTTTGCTTCCGGGGGAGCCTGGCCTTTGTTTGGTTTACTTATTGGGAGCTCTGATGAGGAATGAGCAGTGAGGCAATGCGGGCTGGGACCATTCCTGTGCTGTGACGTGGGTCCTCCGAATGTTGAGTGGAAGCCTCAGCCCTTCTACGTTAAGTCCTGGATTATGAATGTCTGATTGAACACACTTCCAGTAGTTAGGTGCCTACCCCCTTAAAGCCTGTTATGTAGAAAATACAAAGTACATGCAATGGTTTGTAATAACAAACAGGTGCTACTTTGTAATACATTGAAACCCTATTCTATTACTATTCTATCATTATGTTAAAGTGTTTATAATCTGTGTTTCCTTATACCAGGGGGCTCCAAAAAGTTCTTGCAGAAATGGAATGAAAAGGTAATGAACTTCTTTCACGAACTTTTTTAAAGCCTCCTCGTCTCCTGTAAGACACACATTTGACCCACTGACGTTAGATGTAAACTGTCTGTAATTTATGTGTAAATTCTGACTTACGTCCAAATTCCACTGAAAGACACGTTTAGGAACAGAATTCCTTCCTAATCCAGGGACTGCCTGACCCTCTTTGGCAATGGGTGTTTTTTTATATGTGGATGAAGGCACACTGGGCTGGTTTATAAGAAGGAGGTGGACAGACAGACACACAGATGTATCTGGTTCTCTAAAGCCAGTGGACCCTGAAAGAGACAGGACAGGAGTGTCCCCTCGAGCCCCACCCTGAATTCTAACTGTGATGACGTCTGGTTCTGTTCTCTACAGCTGCCCACGTCTGTGCCTTCTACCTGGCTGGCCTCACCTCTTACCATCACCTTGGAAGTGAGGAACTCCTCTGGGGGTTTCTGCAATTGTAGGCGAGTGCTGCCTTTGCTATCATGTTTTCCATCTAAAAACAAGTCACAAGCCCCAGACACTGAAGTGTGGCAGGGACTCAAGTGTTTACCTTTTATGTTTGCTGTAGGGATGTGGTGCCCACAAGGACCTTCTTGTATGGGGCTGGGCAGCTGGCATGCAGGGACTCGAGCAGGACTTTCTGTTGGGAATTTCCCTGTATGAATTTAGGAGGCAGCTGGTCCATTCCCCATTGCCCTTTCTACACCCCAGTAAGCACCAGCTCACTTTTGCTTTTTGCTTGTGGCTTTCAGAGCATGGCATTGAGTGATGGAGGTCGGCCTGCTTTGGGTGGCTCTTCCCTCGTGTTTACCTCCTGTTGGGTTTGTTTCTAGAAAGGTGGGATTTTGTAACACACATGGTGTGGAGACTCAATTCCATCACTTAGTGGTGCTGTGGGGTGTGTTGTCTCTGACCATGGCTGTCGGGTCAACTTTGTGTTATAAATGAGGACTAGACTCGGCATTCATTGTACAGGGCCCCCAAGAACCTGGTTCGGGATGTGGGGTCGGCCTCCTCATTGGGTGTTATTTGTTGGTGTGCGTCTGCACGCTGGTGTGTGACTGTTTCCATAAGATACCCTCTCTGCCCCGTCCCCATCCATGAGGAGAAGCTCCTCTTGGCCACAGTACGCTCCTGAAGGCAGGGACGGGGACCCAGCTGTCACAGCCCCCGGCCCAGAGGTGAACCACCCGCCCCTCACCAAGTAGCTCCAGACGAGAAGGTGAACCTCCCCTGACAGACACACAGGAAGTTGGGTGTTGGGTACTGAATCCATGGGATCCTGCCTGGGAAGGAGGTGAGAGGGAAAGCTTCTGGAAGTTTCTAGGCAATTCCTGACCAGTTGGTGCTTGGGCCAGAAACCTTTGGGCCATCTAAGTGGGACTGTGTCCAGGGGTCAGGATGATTATCTTCGATCGAAGTGTCAAAGTGTCCCTGATCCATGGTTGTGATTTGCCATTCATAATGTTCCTGTTTGCAGGTGAGAAGATTCTTCCGGTTGATGTGTTTTTTAAAATGTGCTCAAACAAATGGATAATAATGGCCTTCCATTTGAATTGCTTTTAAGTGCAATTTAGGAAAATTCATTCCATTGACTGTGTTCTGCAGCCGTCATCATTTCCATTTCCAGCACTTTTCCTTCCCCCAAACTGAGTATCCGTTGGCTGTACCTCTCCATCCCTTCCTCCCCCTAGCTGTTAGGTGTTGTCAAATCGGTACAGACTCAGAGCGACTTTATGGATAACAGAATGAAACACGGCCTAGTCCTGCACCAACCTCACAACTGTTGCCACACGTGAGCCCATTGCTGCTGCCACTGTGCCAATCCATCGCATTGGGGATCTTCTTTTTCCCCGATGTGCCACTTTACCAAGCATGATAGCCTTCTCCAGGGACTGGCCTCTCCTAATAATATGTCTGAAGTTTGAGAGATGAAGTCTGGCCATCCTGGCTTCTAAGAAGCACTCTGGCTGTATAGGGTTTCCAAGGGGCAGCTGGTGAGCTTTAACTGCCAACCTTGAAAGTTGAAACGGACTTTACAGTCCCGTGCATTAGCCCACAGTGCCACACCAGGACTTCGTTTAGCCCATAGAATCCTTCAATAGTGCAATTCAAGGCTTGAATTTTTCATCAATTCCCCCAGATTGAGAAATGTTGAGCTTGTTGATTTTATAACTCCAGATCATTGCTCATTTCATTATTATATTTCACTTTGTCTTTTTGTGTTGCTCTTTGAAATGTTCTGTTTAGCTCTTTTACCTCCTCATTTTTTTCCATTTGCTTTAGCTTCTTCTTAACACTGATGAGCTAGTTTCAGAGTCCCTTCTGACATTCATTTTGGCTTCCTCCTTTCTTGTCTTTTGAATGACCTTTTGCTTCCTGTGTGATTTTCTTCATGTCATCCCACAACTCTTCTGGTCTTCGGTCATTAATGTCTAATGCATCAAATTTCTTCCTGAGATGATCTCTAAATTCAGTTGTGATATGTTCAAAGTCATACTTTGATTATCATGCATTTGTTTTAATTTTCTTCAGCTTCAGCCTGAACTTGCATCTGAGCAATTGATTGTCTGCTCCTCTGTCTGCCCCTGGATTTGTTTTGGCTGATGATATGGAGCTTTTCCACCGTCTCTTTCCACAGATATCATCAGTTTGATTTCTGTGTATTCCATCTGGTGAGCTCCATGTGTACAGTAGTTTTTTAAAAAAACTTACTTGCAACGAAGAAGTCATTGGTCTTGCAAAATTCTATCATATGTTCTCCAGCATCATTTCTATCACCAAGGCCAGCGTTTCAGACAACTGATCCTTCTTCTGTGTTTTCAACCTTTGCATTCCAATTGCCAGCATTTATCAATATCTCTTGTTTGACCTTTGATCAATTTCAAACTGCAGAAGTTGGTTGTTGTTGTTGTTAAGTGCCATCGAGTCGGGTCCAACCCATAGCGACCCTGTACAGGGTTTCCGAGGGTGTAAATCTTTACGGGAGTAGAAAGCCTCATCTTTCTCCCGCGGAGCGGCTGGTAGTTTCGAACCGCTGACCTTAAGGTTTGCAGCCCGATTCGTAACCACTACGCTACCAGAGCTCCTTTGCAGAAGTTGGTAGAATTCTTTAATTCCATCATCACAAGTTTTAGTGATTTGTGTGTTAATTTGAATAACAGTGGTATTAACTGGTCTTCCTTTTAGGCATATGGACATTATCCTATCAGATAGCGTTGCACTTCAAGCTAGATCTTGAGATGTTCTGTTTGATGCTGAATGCGACACCATTCCTCTTCAGTTTGTCATTCGACCTAGTAAACCTTGAGATTGTCAGATTCAAAATGGCCAACACTAGTCCATTTCAGCTCACTAATGCCTAAGATATCAATGTTTATGTGTTCCATTTCATGTTTGACAACGTCTAATTTTCCTAGATTCACACTTCGTACATTCCAGGTTCTGATTATTAATGGATGTGTACAACTGTTTGTCCTCATTTTGAGTGTGCCCCATCAGCAAATGAAGGTCCTGAAGCTTTACTCTATTCCTGTCGTCATGGTCAACTCTGCTTTGAGGGGGCAGCTCTTCCACAGTTGTATTTTGAGTGCCTTCAACCTGAGGGGCTCATCTTCCAGCACTATGTCTGACAGTGTTTGGGGGCTCTTTATCATGTTTCAGTAGTCAGTATTCTGGTGCTATCTGGCAGTGTTCTGCTGTTCATAAGGTTGTCAGTGACCTAATATTTGGAAGTAGTCCATCGTCTTCTTCCTAGTCTGTCATAGTCTGGAAGCTTCGAAACCTGTCCACTGTGGGTGACCCTGCTGGTGTTTATAATACTGGTGGCATAGTTTCCAGCATCACAGCAAGACACATGCCATCACCAGCTCTTTAATGACCTGTCATCGAGGTCATTCAATAGGAGACAGCTTCAAAATGTTCTCCGAGAAAATCCCTTCCCTGAATTCTATCTTCCAGGAACTTTTTGAACGCCTGTTCATATTTGTCCTTCTGTTCTTTCTGCATGTGTTCAGGGACCTTGCATATCTTAGCAGGATCAGAACTTCAGTCATCCTGTGGCACTGTCTGGACAGGCCACGTTTTGTGTGTCCATGTCTCTGTTGATGGACACTTGGTTGGTTTTCAGCGACATCATTGTAGTGACCTCCCCCTTTCAAGTTGTACATTTTTGAGTTTTGAGTATTATCATGTATTTTGAGCAGTCTATAAAAGGTACAAATAAACTTAGCTAAAAGGTTAGCAGTTTGAGCCGACTGCCCTGAGGCACCTCATAAGAAAGACCTCGCAATGTTCTGAAACATCAGCCAGTTACTCTGCACATATGGTGTTGCTGTAAGCCAGGCTCGACGTGATGGCAGCTGGGGTTGACTTTATAAAGGTGATCTGTGCCTGGCGGCTTGGTACTGCTAGGCTGATGGTCAGCTATTTGTCTTCTGCCCAGGGTGCAAGGCCTGCAGTTGCATCAGGACCTGGACCGCGCACACCAAAGCACCAGCACGGATGTGAACGAGGCTCAGGCCCGCCGGCGCGCCTGGCAGCAGAAACTCAACGGGCAGATCCAGCAGGTCACGCTCCAGCTCCTGGTCAGCATTTTCAGGTAGGAGGAGCGGCCGGCAGTGCCCCCACAGCCCAGCCCAGTGGACTCTGCCTCGGCACAAGCCAGGCCTTTCTTGTGGTCATTAGGTTCATTGGCAGTTAGCTCTTTCTGCTCTGAGCTGCATGGTGCCTTTCCAACCGTTCAAGGATCCCTGGTGCTGCAGCTAAGCGCTTGGCTGCTAGCTCAAGTCAGCAGTTTAAACCCACCCAGTAGTTCCATAAGAGAAAGATCTGATGACCTGTTCCCATAAAGAATACAGCCTGGGAGGGGGCGCTGTGAGTGGATGATCTATAAACATATATATAGTGACACAATGAAGGACAACCTGGGGAACCCTGTGGGGCAGTTCTCCTCTGTTACACCAGGGGGAGCTGTGAATGGATGATCTATACACATATACCAGTATATAGTAACACAATAAAGGACAGTCTAGGAAACCCTGTGGGGCAGTCCTCCTCTGTTACACCAGGGG